TTGAAATTTATTCAAGATTAAAAATTCTAGACGTTACAAGTTATGGGAATTCATAGGAATTATTATGAGCCCCACATAGTTTGAAAATTAACAGTGGTTAGTGGACAATAAACAAAGGCTATTTGATAGATTTTTTAATAGTTTAGAATTTACTTCACACCACCTCATAGTATAGGTTACCCATTGATCCTTAGAAAATAATTAGTAGCTAAATTTGCACCTTTACCCTATATATAATAACATTGAAACTACTTATCTACACTAATATTTCAACTGGTAACGCTACAATGTAATGTGTAATTGATTAGCTCTAATGATGACTTTAATGCCCTGTTTGGTAAGAGTAAAGTAAAGCCAGAGAAATAGAAGTGGAGCTCTAAAATTTACACGTCTAGTTTATTAATTGGCTTCCTTATGGAAGTAAATCATCACTTTCATCAAAATTGATGGAACCCACTTTCCCATCCAACCTTATAGAACCTAGTTCCACTTCCATCAAAGCCTCAATCCAGGCCATTTTGCCCCATCACCATCCCTCGTGTTATCTATACTAAGGATGATGAAATGACTTTAGTGAGCACAATGATGAATGATGGGGATGATGATAGATAGCGAGGACACAACAAATAGTGATGACTCTAGAAAAGGTGACCATGGCAAACAAGTTGTTACCATCTTCAATTTCCTCTTTGAACTCTAGTTCGATTTCCTTTTCGATTTCTAGTTCAATTTCTTCTTTGATTTTGTATTTAATTTTTGTTGGCATATAAAAGAGGGTAGATGTGCAAATTTGGCCATTAGCTATTTTTTCAAGAATATTGGGTAGCCTATACTATGAGGTGGTGTAAAATAAATTCTTAACTTTAAAAAGTGGGCATCCAATGCCCATCATTAATTCTCACTTGACAAATGTTAGCTTTCCATGTGAGCTTGCAAAATTTTGACTGAAAAAGGTACAAATTTAGTCACGAACTATTTTTCAGGAAGCATTGGGTAGCCTTTACTATCAAGTGGTGCAAAGAAAATTATCAACTATAAAAAATGAATTATTTAGCCATGAATTATTTTTGGTTGAATTAATTTTGACCAAACGCTATTTATTTTAGATTTATGGGACCCACAACATGTCAATCTCTTTAATCTTTTTGCCTTTGTTCCCAATCTTAACTCAAAAAGAAGAGCTCAAAGAATACTTATCTGAAGATATTTACAAGGACGACGACACCAATGACGTAGAAGAAGAAGAGGAAGAAAACAATTTTTCGTTTAAATCTTTATGGCAATTCAAGTGAAGTAGTAGTTTGAATTGTGATGCTATTATACACGAGAGAAGCTTGATTCAAGCTTAATTTAGCCATGAATTATTTTTGCACCTGTAGTATCATCACAAATTTAGCAATGAATTATTTTTATAAAAAATAAAATGATTGAATCAAGCTTCTCTCACGTATAGTAGCATCATAATTTAAACTGCTACTTTGCTTGAATTCCCACATATATTAATTTAAATGAAACCTTGTCTTCTTCCTTGTCTTTTTTACTTCATTAGTATTGTCATTGTGAATGTTTTCAAATGAAAACTCTTTGAGGATTTTTTTCTTGAGCTGAAATTAAGAATGAATGCAAGAAGACTGAAGAGATAGACATATTGTGGGTCCTTTAGAAAAAAAACAATAGTTGGTCAAAATCAACAGCAAGGTCAGGATAGTCCATTTTTTACTTTTGATAATTTTTTTTTTGCACCACCCAATAGTAGAAATTACCTAATGCTCCTCAAAAAATAATTTATAGCTAAATTTGCACTTTTATCCTATGCTGAGGTGGAGTGACATGTCATTTTTTGGCCAAAAAATAGTGGCGGGCTCCATATGGGAAGAAGCTAACGTCCATCAAGTGAAATTAATGGTGGGCACTAGATGCTCCGTTTTTTAAGGTTGAAAATTTATTTTACACCACTTCATAGTATAGGCTACCAAATGCTCCTAGAAAAATAGTTAATAGCCAAATTTTTACCTTCACCCTATAAAGGAAACCACAAAGGGTTATTCTATGGTGTACATGTCTTCGATTTCTATCAGCATATAAGGATATCAACATATACAATCGTGGATTAAGATTTCTGTCGACATATAAAAGAAACAAGAGTTATGTCCTCGATTGCCTTTGATTCTTCTTATAGATTTCTGGCTACAATTTTTGACTTCGATCTTTGGTTGTTACTGTGGTGGCTGAAGTTGATGGGATGGTATAAGGTTTTTCTGGCAAGGATATTCAAGTCTCTTTTCATGTTATAAATAGATATATTAATTAAAAATTATATCACACTTCTACCAGCATATCAATATCCTTTTAAGCCTATTTCTATTTTCAATTCCACTTCCAATTTTATTATTACAATTCCATTTTCACTTCTTTTAAAAATGCTTTCATCGTATCAAACTAGAGACGATAGAATTGAAAACAAAAGAGGACATGTAATAATTAATTTTTGGGAGAATGACATTGAAGACCCGAAAAAAAAATTATTACAATATAAGCCTATCAATTTTGCATCGGATATTGTGGTATAAAAATACGGATATATTGCTGTGAAAGATTACATTGACACAACACAGTTTAAAAAAGTGATAGGCCCTTATTGTAATAATTTCCTTTTTTTAAGGATTTCAATATCATTCTCCCTTAATTTTTTGAATTCTCTATAAAAATATAGTTAAGAAGAAAATTATTTTAAAGTAAGGATGCCGAGATATACGTCTGTGCTTGTGTATGCACGCGGGCTCACATGTTGGGGAGAGGGTACTATAATTAGAAAGTGCATATGCATGAATCTTCACTTGAACCCTACTTAATGTAAACTTATAAGTTATTGGACAAATTATGATTATGTAAATTTAATTATGATAAACCCGACTATATCTAAAAGTTTGAGAAAAGACCTCGAAAAACATATCCCTATAACAGCTATATATTTTGCGTGTCAACATAATAAATGAATGGATTGGTTTGAAATGTGTACAGTACCTAAAAAGACACATTTTTATAATAGTCTTGCGTGCATTGATTTGCCAAATACGAAACATGAAATTTTTAATTTTCCTAAAATATGGATATAAAAATATACATTGTAAATGATACTATTTCTTTGTGAATAGAAGTTTCTCTATTTGGTTGCCACATGGAAACCTACTTTGTTAGTAGTTCAAGTTCGATGCTGACGTGTTTCTCATGTGGTCCAAAAGAAAGGCCGTGATGATAATTATGTGGACATGCTTGCTTCATTTTTTTTTGGTTGTATATATATATATATATATGTATATATGCTTATGCTTACGACACTATTAAATGTTTTATTTATATGAATCACTTATATTGAATTCCATACACACACATATATTTCTATGAAATAAGTAAAATAATAAATTCAATTGATGATCAATTTTTTTAAAAAAATGATTTATATTAAAAAACTAAAATTTTAAAATTAAACTCTAAATGTGGTATGGATTAAATAATTACTAAACAATTTAAAAGTGTGATTAATATGATACTATCTAATTTCACTTATGGAGCAGAGAGTCCAAGTGTTGAGATATATGCATACGTTTATGCCACAATATTCATATTCCTTGTTGGAAAAGGGAACACCATATACTCATTACTCTACCTATCTCATGTTGAAATTGGATATCTTAATCCTCTTTCCTTCTTCGCTTGTATAAAAAAGTGTGCTTTAAAGATTACATTGACACGCTGTTTTGCATGAAAAAGTATTTTATGCTGTACAAAATTTGATAAATTAACCGCATATATACCGTAGTTTATGGATAATATGACTTTATATCTGTATATATAATATAATTTTTAAAAAGTGTGGCATGATCTTAATATTCACAATTTTGATATTACAAGAAAAATAAATAATTTGGAGAATGATTTTTAAGTCTTACAAAAATATATTAATAATAGTTATATTCTTGATATATTTTTTTAAAATGAATTGTAAATATTAATCCAAACAATAATAAATATGGTTTATATTGATATTTTTCTCTTTTGATTTGGTTTCGACTATTGGTGTTAGCATACAATTTTATCCATATTAATAAAAATGCATATTTTTTCTGGTCAAAAACAAAAAAAAAATTTCTAATATAGCATTCATATACGTTTCAAATGTATACTCTTATTTTATAACTGAGATTCCTATTTAAAATTATATATTAATTGATGTATATTTGCAAATCACTCCTCAGATTTTTTTTTTTCTTGAGAACTTAGCTATATTGTCATTAATTAAATCTTTTGAGATTTAAATATACTTCATTCTCCTAAAATAATTCTTGTGATGATTAGGCCTACTTGCCATGCGTATATGCAAGCGAAAGGAAGATCATCCTTAACAATTAAATAAAAACACATTGAAAAGGAAAAGGAAATTGGAGAAAAATGAATAATTTTGTTCAGATAAAACGATTAGATGGTTCAGAAATAAATGAGAAACTTGTTTAAGCACGCTATCATAAGTAATATATATATATATATATATATAAAATCTATATTATAAAATTTCAAGTGTTGCAGTTGTAGACAATACAGCATAGCTATCTTCAAATAATCCTTTCTTTTTCTGCAGAAGTTGAAGATTAGGTTTTTGAAGTTTCCAAGAAGAAAAGCAGATTTGGTTATCTTGGAAGAAAAAGAAGCATTATATTCCTTCTTCCCATATAAAAACTATTCATATTCATTGAAAATGAGATTTGTTATTTATGTTTCTGACTAAACGTATACTTTGAAATTAAAGTCACGTAATGTAACTTAAAGACATTAATTTTCTTCGAAGATGCCATTGAAGGTCGTTATCTATGACTAATATGAAAATGCAGGACAGGCATGGAATTTCCATCCGAACAAGATAAACAAACAAGCAAAGTATTTGAAAACACTGATACTTGCTAACATCATCACCCTCCTCTTCTATATATAAGAAGCACTAATCTGCAACATTTCCAACTTTCATAACAAAAGCTCCATCATTGTCCTCCACCACATCATAACACTCTGAGGTAAGAATTTAATTTTACTATTCTTTTTTTTTTTTTTGGTCTGTTTCACTAAAGCTTCATAAAACCCTGCTCTCCTTCCTTCTTTTCTTTTTCCTTTTTCCTTTGAAGACAAACATTAGCTTGGTTTGGATGGAGACAAAACTAGGAAGAGAAATTTTCAATAATAGTCATATTTTACTATATATTTTTAGAGCTTTCTCTCTTAGTTTTCCTACCTCCCTATTTTTCTCTCCATTCGAATTAAGGGTATATTTCAGATCGCACGTGCATGACGATAACTCTCTCCTAATATGATTTTTTTCTTCGTTAATAAAACTAATTCTCCCACTAACTTAGTAGATCAACTTAGTTCTATTCATGAGTCCCACATTGAGAGACTCATAAGTAAAGTAGGGTATATAACTCTAAGGGGTAGCTCTTTTATCTAATCTAATATGCTAATTTTCGGGATGACCTCCCTCTTTGAGCTTCTATTCATAACAGATTGATCCTTGATCCAAAGGAATTAATTAAAGACCAAACTCCAATACACAAAATGAGTGAAATTAAGCTTACTAGAACGCACACACTTGTAAATTTTTTGTGTATGCAGTACAGAGATGATGGGGAGAACATATTCATCAGAGAGTGATGAAGGCAATAATGGTTTGAAGAAGGGGCCATGGACAACAGAAGAGGATAGAAAACTGATAGATTACATTGAGAAACATGGACATGGAAGCTGGAGGGCACTTCCAAAGCTTGCAGGATTGAACAGGTGTGGAAAAAGTTGCAGGCTGAGGTGGACTAACTATCTCAGGCCGGACATCAAAAGAGGAAACTTCTCTGACCAAGAACAGCAAGTCATCATCAATTTGCATGCAGTACTTGGGAACAAGTAATTTTTGTACATGTCTATATCTCATCCTCCTACAAATAAATAAAAACTTATAAGTACAGCCTTATATATTTAATGTACTTTTATTCAATCAAATTAAAACAAGTAGATTTTAATGTGTTATTAACATTAATAACAAGATTTTATTATAGAATAGATAGTCTACAAATGGTATATATACATATCTTCATTTAATTGAAAATAAGTATTTGAAGTATATAAGTTTTTCTCGTACTAGTGATATTTTCAATAAGATTAAATTGAAAATACATGCTGTTTGTCAATGTAAAAAGTTTTGAATAAAAGCTTGGGTTGAATAACATGATAGATTGTAAAGGTCTTTCTCAAACAAGATTGCATGGAAAATATGGGATACGTAAAGCTATATATATATGGCGTAGTTAGTGAAATTAAAATATTGGTCTATTTTTTCTCCTCATGATTGTGATTTGTAAATTTTTAGGTGGTCCACCATAGCAGGTCATCTGCCAGGAAGAACTGACAATGAAATAAAAAACTTTTGGAATACTCATTTGAAGAAGAAGCTCATGCAAATGGGGTTAGACCCAGTGACTCACCGTCCTAGATCTCATCACCTTAATCTTCTCTCCTATCTGCAACAATTATTATCTTCTCTCGCAGCAAATAATAATCATAATAATCATTGGGACATCCTTAATACCATTCAAACTTTGTCTCCTTCACAATTAGCCAAACTCCATTTGCTTTACAATATGCTTCAAGCCCTCACAGCTACTACTACTACTGCTGTTGCTGCTGCTGCTACTATGAGTCTAACTCCATGCAATCTGGAGCCACTTGTCAATCCTATGATGATGACAGATCATCTTCTCTTACAAGAACAACATCAAACCCACGTTGGTACTTTTCCTTCTCTTTCCAACTTGCCAAACGTGGTTGAAGGTCTTCATCATCAGCATCAGCAGCAGCATCTACCACAAGCGATTGTGAGTGATGATGAGCTTCTTAAGATAATGCCATATTGTTTTGGTGCTCCAGCAGCAGCTTCCTCTTCGAGCTCTCTTCCTAATCTGGTTTCGCCCACACCTGATTGCTCTCCATCTGTTAACAAAATGAAAAACCTAAATGATGGCACTGATATTATTAATCGTCCTTCTTCCACTTCAACAACCTTTGATTCATTAGGAGATTTTATGGGTGAGCATGCAAGTGAAGCTTACTGGAAACATCTCTTAGAGTAAGTGACCTCATACGTTTTGTTTTAAGTGAGCTGCATGTGTACAGTGCATAAAGTTTGGAGACTGTTTCACATGTTTACAACTTATAATAAATAGTATAATTTAATTTAATTTGTTACTTTAAATTTTATATTATGCATATAAAGTTTATTTTTGGTGATGACATGCCTAAATATCAGGCTAGAGGTTTCTAATGTTCTATGTAATATCTTAGCTTCCCAACTTTTTTTTTATTTGAATTATTGAACTCTACATAAAATAAAAGACATTTTAATATCTTGAAATTTTGAGATGATAGAGTTTTGTATTTTTTATGATATTTTAAAGGAAAAATTAAAGGGTTAATAAGCAAATAGGACCTTGAACTATTGTTCAAAAATCGTCATGAACCTTAAACTCTTAAAATATGTAAAATAAATCCTAAATTTTTAAATTCATAGTAAAATAAACCCTAACCTCTAATTTTTTAACACCATTATTATCCATGCAGGTATTGTTCAGGATTTATTTTCCTATGAATTTAACCATGACATTTACAGTACTTGCGTGAATAGTAACAGTGTTAAAAAAGTTATCGGTTAGGTTTATCTTACTATGAATTTAAAAGTTTATAGTTTATTTTATATATTTTAAGAGTTTAGGTCCAGGGTGATTTTCGAGTAAGAATTCAGGATCCTATTCACTCATTAACCCAAAATTAGAATTACATACTTTTATATTTGAAAAGTAATTAAAAAAAATACAATATGACTTATGTTGACTTTGACTTTGAGGACCTTTAGTTATTATTATTTTTCCTTTTTTTGTATGTTTCTTTTTAACTTGAGACGCACTCATCAAACTCAATTTATTGTTAATTTGTTTCTGTTTGGATTCATTTGCAGCCAAGAATCTAACCAGCCATGGTCGTAAAGGACGAAGCATTCGTGGTTTATATGAAATGCAATAACGGGGATTGTCATTGTTCTATACAGAATAACCAAAGAATTTTGTTGATTGTGAATATGTTGATGTATGTATTTGAAAATGTTGATTTTTGGACTAAATAATTAAACTTCCTTGTATAAAGAATTAAAGATCATGTGAGCTTTTCCTTACAACTTAGATTGTCATTATTATTTATATTTTTTAACAAATCATTTTCAACACTTATATGCACCTTCTTTGTTCATTTTTCTTTTTTAAATTGTAGTGGTTAGTCCTTCAATCCACACTAAATATGGATGGTGAAATATAGCGACATAAATAAGGGCGCACGTGGCGTGCTCATCAGTCACCATAGTCTAATTGATTTAATTATATATATATATATATATATATTGATTTTGTGGCCTATCATTAAAATAATCCAGAAAAGAATTCTTCTATCTCTCAAAATAAAACTTCAGTAATTGATGACAGAAAAATGGCTACCAAAAGCTATGTTATATATATATATATATATATATATGTATGTATGTATGTATATTTACAATATATTTTAAAATTTATAAGGAAAAAATACTACTTATTATCTCTATCAGTCTACATCGTCGACATCTACGAAGAAGCACGCTAGGAAAAGAACTTATACAAATATAATAAGAAACCTGATCAGTTGACACTTGAAGAATGGGTATGTGAAAAAGGAAAAAAAGAGTGAATATTAAAAGGATTAGTTAGTTTTGTGGAGACTATGACACGAAATGGATGTTTATGAAGGTGACATATTTAATTGTGCTCATAATCTCCACACAACTAACTAATCCTTTTAATATTCACTATTTTTCCTTTTCACATAACCATTTCATCAAGTTTCAACTCAGGTCTCTATTAAATATTTATATATATATATATATATATAATGCCTATTTTTATATATAAGCATGTCAAACTTCTCCAACACGTAAGAAATTTATCCATTAATTTCTTTATTATTATTATTATTTTATTTGCAATAATTTCTTTATTCAATAAAACTTCTCAGAGTCATCGGAAAAAGTATGTGGCGTTCAAATGGTGAAAATTTTGGATGGAAGGGAAGTTTTTAATAAATTCAATTTTTTTTAAAAAAAGAAGAAAAGTAGGGTTATGAAATTTTAATAATAAAGTAAAGATGCAAATTATAATAGTAAAAAAAATTATTAAAATTTTAAAACTCGATCAACTTCTCCATTGTTCTTAAATCGAAGTAATTTATATCTCCCTCTCCAAAACCCTTCCTTCAATCAAATTTATTGATAAAAGTCAGTATCGTCTTTAATTTCTCCAATAACTGGCTGACGATTGCTTCGAGCTCCTCGTACAAAGTCAATGGTTTTTGTTATTAGTTAGGCAAGGCTACTGTGTTCATCATATGTTTTGATCAGATACTATAACAATGTTAAATATTAAGTAAATATTAACTTATACAAAAGATAATATCTAGAAGAGGATTCATGTCCTTAGTGAAGCATAATTGTATAAGTAATTATAAATAAAAATTATATCAACAAAATTATAAAAAAACTATATTTTTTATTCCTCATGCATATGTTTCTAGCGATTATAAGATAAAAAAATAAAAAATTAATTTTATTTTAGAATTTGTTAATCCAATTATAGATTTTTGGTCAAAAATAAATCCAACTATATATACTCAAATATAGGCAGCAATTTATTTTAGTCTATACATTGTTATGCCCATGCAAATTAAAAGATCTAAAAAACTTGTCTTATTTTAGAATGTGTCGCCCTGTGCATATGAAGAATATAAATAATAACTTAATTTATTCTTACACAAATTAATATAGAATTAATGTGCATATAGAATATAAGCAACTCCTTGTGTAATACCATGGCATGTAGAATATGTTACCATGGCATGCAAGCATGATTGACTGGCCTTTTCCTGAGGATCTTGCTTGCATGGTAACGTTGGATTTGTTTTGTATCCCCCCCCCCCCCCCCCAAAAAGGAATTTTTTATTGTTATGCATATGAAAACTTTAATCCATGTAATTTATTCCAGAATTTATTGTCTTTATAAGTTATTTCTCTAAAACTAATTAAAAAGTTTATAAATAAAAAAATATGCTAAAATGATATCATAAATGTAGATAACAAATCGTTCCATTATGTATGTTGTGCACATTAAAAAGTAAAACAACATATTTTATTCTAAAATTAATTATATAATTCAATTTAAAAATGTAAACAATAAATCCTTTTTCACTTCAAGCATATTAAAATTAAAAAATTGTTTTATTTTAAAATTCTTTATCCATATACAAATTGAAAATATAAATTATTCTTAATTTATGTCATATAATACATTTCATCCTGTGCATGTTAAAAAGTTAGAAGCATACTTTCTTCCAAAATTTATTACCCCATGCACCCTTGCATTAATTAGAAGCTATTTTAACTTGTTTTTCTTAAAAAAAAAATTACTTTTGTGTATATTAAAAATAGGGAAAATAAAAATGAAATATCACCCAAATATGTGAATGAAAATCAAGTCTTTCAAAATGCCATTATTTCTCTAAAGTCTCTAAGTATCTTTCTGATTTTAATAATTTTAGGTTAAATGAATAAATTTTTCCTTGTTTGAAATAATAAAAAAAAAGGGTTCACATGAGAAGTTGGGATTTCTTGTTCATCTTTTTTGATTCACATAATAAAAGTTTTGATTGGTTATTTTCAAAACTTAGACTTCAATAATAAAAAAAACTTCACGTGAGAAATTGTGATTTTTTGTTTAATTTTTGTGATTCATAGAGTAAAAGTTGGGATTACTTAAATAAAAGTTGTGGTTAGAAAAATAGAGCTAGACTCATTATTTTTATTTTAAACAAGGGGTTATATAGTTATTTAATCTAAAATCATTAATGTTAAAAAGATACCTTGAGACTTAAGAGGAATTATGATATTTCAAGGGGCCTAATTGTTATTTATATATTTCAGTGGGATTTTGTTATCATTTTCCTGTAAAAATAATAAACAATAGCTATAATTAAATTCATAATTTCATTCCATGTCCTACATCAACCTTTTTTAAACAGAGAATATCAATAAAAGATCCTGTAAGCAATTTAATTTCATAAAGGAGTGCTAACAAGTAAATATTAACAATTAGTAAGTGAAGTTCCTATTTTAATTATTAACAAGTATCAGATCCGTCTAGGTACTTATCAGATATTAAATTTTTTTCAAAAACCCTCTAATGTTTTAACAAGTAAACATTAACACTTGTGTTTTTTAAGGGAGAATCGCATTCAAAGCCCCAAGATGAGAGAAGACGGCAATGATGACTCAGAACAACAAGAAGTTCAACATGCGTAACTAAATTGCCGAACCTTCTATTGTTATAAGCCCTCATAACAATTTTTTATTTTTTTTACCTCATCTGGGGCCATGAATGCAATTCTCCCTTCTTTTAAGATTAAATAGCATTTTTGCCATTCAATTATTTTCACATAAATGTCTAGTATCATAAACTTCTTCTTCTTGTTGTTGTTTTCTTTTTTTTGGTGACAATATTTCCCTTCAACAATTAAAAATGATATAATGTTATCTTTAATATTAACAAATTTTAGCTTTGACCATTAATTGACTCACAAAATTATAGAAAATAACCTAAACTTTATTAACAAAAGATACAAATAATATTTTATAAGAAAAATAATACAAATTAAATCCCCTAAATTACAAATGAAAACTAAGAAAATGATTATTTTTTTACCATGTAAAAGACCAAAGAATCATTTTGACTAACCACTTTGATTGACTATTAGATGATTATCGAATCATTATTGTTGGCAACAACACCAATGATTAATTAAGAAATAATGTATTTTTTTAATAATATCTTTTTAAAACATTAATACTGTTGGAACATTTTTTGATGAAGACAAAACTAAAGAAAATGTTTTTTTTTTTTTCAAGACCATAGCTAAGATCAGTAACAAAATGACCAATTGCTAAGAATTCAAGAGAAGACTCAAAATCATAGGAAATTTTAATTTTATTTTCTCTTTGAATCTTATGTAAAGAGTCTAGAGAGCTTAATGTATTGCATCAAAAGGTTTTTGAGACAGAAAACATGCACTAAGTCATGAACTCAGCTTTACAAATCTGTTTAAAATCATTTCATTGAGTTCATAAGTCATTCATGCATGAAGAGTCTTCATTCACACATGAATTATCCTGTCATAAATGATTTTTGACTCTATCCAACTCATTTGAAGTTGAACCAATATGCATGTGATAATGAGCACCTAGAAAAACTCATTGGTTCTGATTTTGTCCTTAGTACTACAAAAAAGGCTTTTTATTTATGAAAATGCTACTGCTCACACTTTTTACACCATTTACTTTTAAATTGGTGTAAAAATGTTTTTTTCATTGTAGTAATGCATTACGAATGAATCATTATTCAATCTCGCATTAATCATAGGTTTAAGATTTTTGAGCATTTTGGAAGTGTCATTCACATAAGAATCAAATCTAGTTATCACAATAATAAGTTATAAATTTAGACTTCAATACAATAACTATTTAAATCGTTAATCCCTTATGGATCATGCATGAATCATATATTCTCAAAAGAAATTGATGTCCCTCCATATTCATTAATTCACGCATGAATCACTTGTGTTAATTATAATAACTCCAATACTTAAAAACATAATTAGTGTACAATTAACCTTAAGGAAGAGTTATCATGGTAACTCCAACCAATTTAATCAATAATAAAATACACCATGGGAAAAAAAGGGATCAATTTTGGCTTTTTTGAAACTCAAAAGGCCAAATAAGAAAACTTTGTAGAGATGGGATCTTATAAATCATTTAAAATTAAAACCAAGTTTAGAAGGTCAATTAATCATTTTAAATCAGAGTAAAAAGTATTTGAAAAACATGGAAAGCAATTAGAGTTAAAAACAAGTCAAAATGAAGTCAAAATGGTTATTTTCGCTTAACAAGGGTACGTGGCCACAACCAGATCACATTAACCTATGACCAACATTTCTAGATAAGATTTGGTCATGGCCAATACCCTATAGGCTGCAACCAAAGAGTTCCTAAGATCATTAGGCTATAGCCAACTATCTATAAAGCACAACCAATAATGTCATAATTACTGCC